ACCCCTACATTCATCCACCAACCCATCCATCCACCCACCCACCCATCTACCCATCCATCCATCCATCCATCCACCCACCCACACATCCACTCATCCACCCCTACATTCATCCACCAACCCATCCATCCACCCACCCACCCATCTACCCATCCATCCATCCATCCATCCATCCATCCACTCATTTATCCATGTATTATCCATCTATCACCATCTGTCTATGACAAGAGTTAGTATGAGATCAACTAACGGAAAAGGTGGGGCTAGGTTTAAAGATTTTTCTACTACAGCAGTTCCCCAAGTTTGATTCCTGAAGGACTTCATCAAGAACTTAAAAAATGTCCATTCTCAGACCCTACCCCAGACTTACTGAATCAGAAACTCTGAGGGCGGGCCCAGCAGCCTGTGCTTTAACAAGCCCCCCAGGTGATGCAGATACATGCTCTAGTTGGAGGACCACTGTTCTGTTTCATCAAATGCTTAAATCAACTAGATCCATAGCACTGCTCCCTCGAATGTCTTCTACCTTTTCACCAATTACTAAAATTCCAAAGAGAAAACAAAAATAGATGAAAACGAGCCCTATCACATAGAAGGGGGGCCAAGGGGAAGTTGCCACTGGAAAGCGCCCCGGCCTTGTTACTAAAGATCAGGTTTAGAAGAGTATATAAAATGTCAGTTCTCAAGGTCAAAGGCTACAGATTCACAGACCATATGGACAGCACACATTATCCTCCTTTACATGCAGATTAGCCTAGATAATGAAGGTTCTAGGTGACAGAAGACATGCATAAATCTGAAATTAAAACACAGCAGCAGCATGTCCTGGACAGCAGCAAAGATAAAATGCCTGTGGGCTTAGAGTGAATCTACAGAGGGTGAGGCTCTGTGCAGCTGAATGAGGCAGCTGCTCTAAGGCCAGCCGCTGTACGCAATCCCTCAGCTGTGACCTAGCGCCACCACTGCCCTGAGGACCTACGCCAGCTGCCACATCAGTGTCCTGTTGCCATCAGCTCTTACCTGGCACGGACCCTAGCATGACGCCAGAAGGAGAAGCAGCTCCATGACCTCGAGCTGAAAGGTATTTGGCTGCAGGTGGGGAACTCTCCTGAGGAAGTGCTTGGAATTTAAACCTGAGGTGGGGATCAGGTTTACCTTGACCTTCACCCCTACCAGAGAATGTGCACCACACACCCCTACACTCTGTGGTAGCGTCATGTCAATATCGCACCACAAACCCCCCTCATGATGGTTTTACAGCCTCTCAATCTAATAACTTGCCTCCACTGAGTGGTACCTTACACACAGCGTGAGCAGAAAGTGGGTTTGTGCTGAAGGAAGAGGCCAGTGTTCATGGGTGGTAAGTGGAGTGTGATGCAGGGTCACCTCCCCTGACTAAACACTGCAGGGTGCTCATAACCGAAGATATCTGGTAAGCTGGATTTGAAAGTCCTGGTGAAGCATGCAATTATCAGTAATGCAGATGTGTGGGAGGACGCACATCTTACTGCCTGTTCCAGATGAGAGGGCCCACACCGAGAGCCTGGCTCGCAGGACATTCAGTGAGCGGCCAGTGTCACTGCTGCTCTTCTGAAACGGCCTTTTTACAATTAAAAATGCGCACGTGTCTCTCGGAGCTCATGAAGAAACCCCAATCCCTAAAAATCTGGGGAATGACATCACCCTCTGGAGCGGTTCCCACTCTGTGATTCTGACATCGAGCCGCACGCAGAGGCACGCAGGGCAAGGAGGTGCTTTCTCCTCCACCCCCGCAGCCGATCGGAAGCCTCCTTGTGAACCTGGCATCCACACAGCCCTTCACCGTACTCAAACCCTGCAAACCCTGCACGGAAAAGCTCCCCTCAAGCTTCAGAAAAAGAGAGCTGATAGTCTAAGAATCAGAAAGCAGACGGCATGAAAATGGTTTTGTTTGCTTTCGACCCATATACAATAAGCCTAGCAGCTTTGATCACAAAACCCCCATTAAAAACATCTTGATTAGACCAACCCATACGATGGTGCCTATGCTGATTTAATCACTGGTTCGCTCTCAAAATCCATCGGGGTGGGTAGAGAAAGACAGAGAACCACACCCAAACCAAGCAACCGACATTTTAATCTCCCAGGCAAGTATTAGTTAGACAACTAGTAATGGCATATATGACATAACATATGGCAACATCAAGCAAAACACTTGGCAACTTACTTTTAATGAGATATCATTATTTCCTCTTCATTTCAAGGAAAACTAGTTAAGGATGCCTCTGCTTCTGCATAACACAGCCTGAGAACTCAGATGCCACCGCCTGAAAGCCAGGGCCAGATGCAAGCTGTCAGCCCAGTCTCTGCTTACACCTAAAATAATCGATCTGAACTGCTCTTCAAAGCTTATTCGAAATAATATTTCGATTAATACTGAAAATGAACGTCCAGTCCACTCTTTACCCATACACATCTGTCTGAGGTTTAAATTGCATTTAATGAAGAAAAGAACCACCTGATTAGTCCAGGTTTTTTCCTCCTCAAAATGAGCTTCCAGGTAGCTTCACCATCCCCACCCCTGGCTCTGAAACCCCAAGCTCTGAAAGCCCTTGGCTCAGATCATTCTCAATTCGCAAGCACTTGTGCATTCTCCATTGCGAGGGCTGCGGACGGGCAGGTTGATGGGCAGATTTCAGACACACAAATGGCTCCGCATGCAGACCCAGCATCCCTGAGAGAGCCCGTGACACCAACGTGCCGTCATTTTAACTATTCGGGGCAGCACGCGATCGCCGACAGCCTCTGAAAACACACCAGCTACCAACCAGTGCCCCCCATGTCTCAGCTACCACCGCTAGAAAGGAACACGAGGGCGGCTTACAAAAATCAGACGCATTTCCCCACAATTCAGCCCATGATGTCAAGCTTAAGCACAGATCACTGACGGCCAGCAGCTCCTCCTACCCGTGTGCTTGGAAACCGCATTTAATCTCTGCACCATTTCTTCCAGGGCCATCTCTTCAGTCCTCAGCCAAAACCTCATCCTCCGACACAACAGAAATGATGCTGGCAGATCCGCTTCCTCCGCACGGGGGGCGCCTGCGGGTGGGGCCGTGCGAGTGGGGAGGGGGCGCGGCGGAGGCGGGGAGGGGGCCACGGCAGCGCTTTCAGCCTGGAGCCGCCGCCTCCCTGCCCGGGATTGGTTCCGCGCCACCGGGAGGGGGGCGCGCGCTGCGCCGCGGGGGGCGGGGGGCGGCTCGGCGGAAGCGGAAGCGGCGCGCGCCCGCCCCGGCGTGTCACCCCCGTGGGTCACCTGGGAGTCTTGTGAGTGCACCACCGAGGTCACCTGGCAGCCCCGCGGGTCACCGCGGAGGTCACCTGGCAGCTTGGCGGGTCACCGCCGCGGTCACCTGGGAGCCCCCGGGTCACCGCCGCGGTCACCTGGGAGCCCCGCCGGTCACCGCTGAGGTCACCTGGGAGCCCCGCGGGTCACCGCCGCGGTCACCTGGGAGCCCTGTGAGTGTACCACACAGGTCACCTAGAAATTCGTGTCACCGCCGAGGTCCCCTGGGAGCCCCGCGGGTGCCACAACAAGTGCCCCTGCCCCTCCCCCCGGTTCCAGGTCTCCACACTCTCCCGGTTTGCGGGCAGCCGCGCGGAGCCGCGAGTGGACTGCGCGAGTGCAGCTGCCTCCGCGGGGCCGCGCCTGGCCGCCGCCTCCCTTTACCTCCGGCCGCCCCGCGGCAGGTGCAGAAGCTGCAGAGGCCGCAGCAGCCGAGCGCGCCCCCTCCGCGTGGCCGCATGCCATCCGCGCCGCGCCCAGGTAAGCAGGTCCGTGGGTCGCTGGGTCCATGCGTGGGTCCCTGGCTGGCCGGAGATGGACCAGCCCCTTCCCGCAGGGGCATCGCCTGCCCAAGGTCGCAGGACCCGGTGCAGGAAGCGCGCGCTGCAGGCACGGGGCTCTCCACCCTCGCCATGGTTGGCACCAGGCCACAATGTGCACTTGACACCCGCAGCGTCCCGGCTGCCACCTGCAGATTCCAGCTCGTGTCTATGCAGGGCCATGACCGCCACCACAGGGCCATGTGCAAGAAACTCTCTGGCTCTCCTCACCCAAAACCGCGGCTATCCTTTTGTGGTTTGGTATTACCGGTAACGTGCCCTTCCTTAAAGAAACAGTATTTCAGGCCTGTAGTCCCAGCTACTCCGGAGGCCGAGGCAGAAGCAGAGGCAGAGGGAGGAGGATCATTTGAGTTCAGAAGTTTGAGCCTGGGCAATGTAGCAAGACCACCCCCCCAACCCCACTCCCCAATCAGTTAAAAAAAAGAGAGAGAGAATTCCAGCAGGAAGAAGTACCCTTTTCCATGAATGGTTTGGGAATTCAAGCATCAAATGGCTGAGGTTTGAACTACAGCTCGTGCCAATAACATGTGCACATGCACCAGCAGTCCAGTGTCCAACAGAGCATGCGCGCACCATTCCAGCTTCCGGCAACGATGCACCGGTAGTCCAGTGTCCAACAGAGCATGCGCGCACCATTCCAGTATCCGGCAACAATGCACCAGTAGTCCAGTGTCCAACAGAGCATGCGCGCACCATTCCAGCAACCAGCAACAATGCACCAGTAGTCCAGTGTCCAACAGAGCATGCGCGCACCATTCCAGCATCCGGCAACAATGCACCGGTAATCCAGTGTCCAACAGAGCATGCGCGCACCACCCCAGCATCCGGCAACAATGCACCGGTAGTCCAGTGTCCAACAGAGCATGCGCGCACATTCTAGTATCCGGCAACAATGCACCAGCATTCCAGTGTCCAACAGAGCATGCGCGCACCATTCCAGCATCCGGCAACAATGCACCGGTAGTCCAGTGTCCAACAGAGCATGCGCGCACCATCCCAGCATCCGGCAACAATGCACCGGTAGTCCAGTGTCCAACAGAGCATGCGCGCACATCAGATCCGGCAACAATGCACCGTATCCAGTGTCCAACAGAGCATGCGCGCACATTCAGATCCGGCAACAATGCACCAGCATTCCAGTGTCCAACAGAGCATGCGCGCACCATCCCAGCATCCGGCAACAATGCACCGGTAGTCCAGTGTCCAACAGAGCATGCCCGCACATTCTAGTATCCGGCAACAATGCACCAGCATTCCAGTGTCCAACAGAGCATGCGCGCACCATTCCAGCATCCGGCAACAATGCACCAGTAGTCCAGTGTCCAACAGAGCATGCGTGCACCATTCCAGTATCCAGCAACATGTGTGTCCCCCACCATCCCGTTGTCCAGTGGCACATGTGCGCCTGGACGTTCCAGTGTGGTGACCTTTCAGGCACGGAGCAAGGCCAAAGGGATAAAAAAATGAAGGTGACACAGTACTTCCCCTTATAGCTCCCACAGGTCTGGATAGGCCAGACAGATCTGGAAATAAATAATTCATAATAAAAAATAATTACAGAATAAGAAGTACAACAACCACAGATAGAAGGTACTGAGTAAATCTGTAAGAAATGGCTGCTTTGTTTTTGTTTTTGCTTAACATGAGAAACGTATTGAGTATCAGCAGTTTCACTTGGTTCTATAGAATCTCTTTGGAGCCCAGTGAAAGGAGGACTCTGGAAAGGCCTCGGTGTGGATGGGAGCCTCTCCCTGTGTGGACAAGCATCCCCTGGGCTGCCCAGAGCTGAAGCAACCCCACTGTGCCTACCACTGCACAATTGCTACCTCCTGTCTATACATGGTCTCCAAAAAGTGCCCTCAAATGGGTCTGCTCCTAACTCATTCCCTGTCAGTTCAGGGAACCTTCACCACTCCCCGTTCCCCACCCCCCACCCCAACCCCACCCCTCCAGCTTCAGGGAAAGCCTGTCATCAGGCAGAAGGGTCCTGAAATGCAGGCCCTGCCCTTTCCACTAGTCTAAGGCAAAACACTCTCCCTGGTCCTCATCCCACACGGCCCCAGGCCACACTCCCTGAGCACTTGCCCTCTTCTCCCGGTGCCAGGCAGGTGCCCTCCAGCCTACCCAGCCTTGGGCTGTATCAGGATCTACCAAGGGCTTGTTAAGCTCACATGGCTGGGCTCTGATGGCTCCTTGCTGATCCAGGAGGTCTGGGGTGGGGCCTGAGGATGTGCATTTCTAGCAAAATTCCCTGGGATGTTGAATGTGCTGGTCCACATTTTGAGAACCACTGCTGAAATCTGTTGCATCTTAAAAGCAAGATGAAAGGAAAAGGCCACACTCTCTGGCCCATCCCACTTCTCTGATCTCCCTCTTCACCCCTTGGGCATTTCCACACATGCTCTTGGCTTCTTTCCTCAACCCTGTGCCATCCACTCTGTCCCCTGGCCAGCATCCTCTAGCTGGCACCATGTCATGTTGGGGTACCAGGGTGGAGACCCTTGGTCTCTGTGGCCATTGACTTTATTACTGGCAACTTGGCTGGGCCACCATGCCCAGATATTGGGTCAAATGCTAGGTTAGATTGGCACTTTTGTCAGTAGACTGAGTAAAGCGTGTGACATAATGTGGGTGGGCCTCACCCAATCCATCAAGGGCCTTGAGAGAAAAAGACAGAGGTTCCCCGAGGAAGAGAGAGCTCTGCCCCCAGACCGCCTGGACTGCAACCCAACTCTCCCCAGTCCCCGGCTGCCCCTGGCCTGCGGATTCTGGACCTTCCAACACCCACAATTTCAGGAGCTGATTTGTTAAACTAAGTCTCTCTTTCTCTCTAGCTCTGTCAAGTCTTTATTCTGCCTTAAATTATAGCACAAATGATGCCATCTTTCCATAAAAATCATTTAACGCTTGCCTAAAGAACGACTGTCACCGTTACACCTGGCATTAGGGAGCACTGGGCACTCCAGGCACCTGCCAGATGCTTCCCACACTGTAAACTATTGGTCTTCACAGAGAGCTGGGAAAAGGCACCGTTTTTAGCATGTTACAGAATATGCAGAGAGGTTCAGCGACTTGCCCCAGGCCACACAGAGGCACAAAGATGCAGACCTGTGGTGTCTGTAGTGTCGCAAGGGGAATGGCATCCACAAAGTTCCCAGCAGATAGACCCAGGACACTTAGGTAAGGTCCCAAGCCGTGTGTCCCAAGGGACGGCTTTCTTTCCATCCCTGGCTCAGCCTCTCTCCCAGGAACCACAGGCGCTCCAGGAGGGAGGCTGAAGGTAACACGACACCTGGATACCAAACATCCTCATAGCTACCGACCTTTCTGGATGATCAGCCACAAAGCGGAGGTGAGAATTGGGAGCTGAAGCAGGCAGGGCCAGGCTCCCAGTGCCAACCCCAAGACTAGGGGAGCAGGGCTATGGAGGGGGGGGAGCAGGGCTATGGAGGGGGGGGAGCAGGGCTATGGAGGGGGGGGAGCAGGGCTATGGGGGGGGGCAGGGCTAGGGGGGGGGCAGGGCTATGGAGGGGGGGAGCAGGGCTATGGAGGGGGGGGAGCAGGGCTATGGAGGGGGGGAGCAGGGCTATGGGGGGGGCAGGGCTATGGGGGGGAGCAGGGCTATGGGGGGGGAGCAGGGCTATGGAGGGGGGAGCAGGGCTATGGAGGGGGGGAGCAGGGCTATGGGGGGGGAGCAGGGCTATGGGGGGGGAGCAGGGCTATGGAGGGGGGGAGCAGGGCTATGGAGGGGGGGAGCAGGGCTATGGAGGGGGGAGCAGGGCTATGGAGGGGGGGAGCAGGGCTATGGAGGAGGGGGAGCAGGGCTATGGAGGGGGGGAGCAGGGCTATGGAGGGGGGGGAGCAGGGCTATGGAGGGGGGGAGCAGGGCTATGAGGGCGGAGCGGCCCCGGCCACAGGAGGGAAGGCATAGGTGTTTACTGCACAGCCTCACTCCACGGCTTGGGAGGGAATCAGAGAGGGTGGAGACTGGAAAAGGACTGTGAGGAAATTCACAAGCTCATCGTAACTGGTAGAGCCTGGCGGGATAACACCCAGCATGTCAGGGATGCACTGAAGCCGTGGCCCCAGAAATCTGGAAACGAACCCTCGATTCTGGACAACCAGGGCTGGCTCTGAGGTGCGGCACTGAGCAAGGCTGGTGGCTCCTGCCCGCCCAGAGCTCACGCTGCAGCAGAGGTGACGTGGCACCTGGGTATGTGATGGCCTCCATGCGGTGACGGGAGGGCACCTGCTGGCACCTCCCCCTCGGGGGCCAGTGTGACGTGTGAACAGGTCCCTGTGTCCCAGCAGTGAGCAGGTCCTGGTCCACACACGGACGACTGAAGGACTGCACTTCTGAAGTGGGGGACAGGGAGGGGAGGGGCGGGAGAGGAAGGAAGAGGAGGAGCTGCTGGACTTCTGACTTTTTTGTACCTTTGCAGGGCAAGGAAGTCTGGAATTCACATTAACATAAACTATAATGCAGAATCAGTTGATAAGGACAGTTAGTGAGGAGATGGTCTTTTGGGGATAAAATCTGGCAGGATTGCTGACCTGGACTCCATCATCTAACGTTCTCACACACAAATGACCATTACGTTTTGATGCATAAAACAAGTAACTTAATATGTATTTTTGTCTGACTACAAAATCATTGCATTCACTTTGGAAAATACAGAAAATAAAAATAAAATACACTTCAACAGCATCACCTAGAGGTCTTTTTATCCTTCTGATGCCTTTTTATACAAAATTATAACAGCAATGTATATTCTTTGTAACAAATTTTTCACTCAAACGTTTTTTCATGATGCTACTCATCTGCATGATTTTAAGTAGCTGGGTGAATATTTCCTGGGAGGTGTTTCAAATTTTAATCAGGTTTTCTAGTGATCCTTGGCTGTCATAAACACTGGCAAAGAAACACACAGGTAAATCCTTATCTCACATCTGATTGTTTCTCTGGGTTAATTTCCTACAAGTAGAGGTACAGGCCAAAGGGTATGGCTATTTTAAAGTTTCTGAAATCCGTACATGACTTTTACATGTGCACGTTATGGTAACACGCATCCACGCGAGCAGACACAGGGCGCTGTGGGAATCTGCACCTTGTTCCTTGGCAGGGGGTCCCTGTCACAGGGAGCATCATGGTGGGCTCACGCCATCCTGGGGGCAGCCCGGGTACTGCTCGGATGGGTTTGTTTGGTGAAAAAACAAAAGGCAAACTCACTTTAACTAGAGACCATTTGCCTGCATGGTGGGGAGAGCTGCTCCTGAGGCAAGAACCACAACTCAAAGCTTGACATCAACGTGGGCAACTGTAGAACCCAGGGCACCGGGGCCGCCTCAAGGGAATCTCAAGAGTCGCCACCGTGGGCAGGGGCCATCCGAGGTGGGCTATGCACTGCCCCAGCTGGGACCCCCCGCCCCCCGCAACCCTGCGCTGAGGTGCACTGCAAGTGGACGCCATCTCCTCCCAGGCAGCCTGGTTAACCCAACCTCTCTCAGTTACATCGAATGTGCCAGATCCCCATCCACAACCCTTCCAGTGGGGGCTGCAGGCCAAGCCTCTGTGAGTCCCCTGTGTCCCTGGGGTAGAATCTCTGGGGCCTGGAGCAAGCAGGTGGTTGGTGTGGCCGTGCACACCGGCACCAGTGGAGGAGCCGCCCTGCCTCTGCCAGCTTCTGGGGAGCCAGCACCCTTGACTGTGGCCCGACCCAGCTGCGAGCCTATCTCCCTGTATCTCTCCCCATCTTCCATCGACACCAGTGGCTGGATTATGGTTCCTACTCCAGGGCGACTCCATCTGAGCTCATCCATCTGCAGAGGCAGCGGCCCCACCTCCACGAGGCCACACCCACAGACACTGGGGGTCAGAACTCAACACATCTTTTCAGGGACACAATTCTACCCACAATAGCAGGAAAGGGACCAAGACAGGCTACGGAGCAGCCACATGCACGACTGGCTGCAGACACGGGTGCAGGGAGGTGAGTGGCCCTGGGGACCCCCTGAGGGTCCTTGCTGACCGACCTGAGGATCCACCTGGTGCCTATCCCGGTCCCCACACAAGTCATTCCCTCCTAGCCATGCCCTGCTGTGGAGTCCTGAGCAGAGAGTTCTGAGGAGCTGTGGAGGCTCAGTGACCCTCGCCCTGCTCTGATGCCAGGCCCCAGAATCCTGGCCAGGAGGAGCACGCTCAGACCCTGTTGGATGAGGAGCAGGAATCCGCCGCATAGAGAAAGAATTCCTTCAAAAGCAACTTTAGATTCCACGAGAAGTGCCTGGGCCCCAGGTTGGCAGGAGGACGTGAAAAGACAGCGGCATTCCCTGCTGAGAGCGGCAGAGGTAGGTGGGAGCTACGGGCCCTTTCAGAGGGGATGTCTGTGCCCAGGGCAGAGCTGAGTCAGGCATGAGAGAAGGCTGCCATGACAGATCTGGCACCAGCCTGAAATATTCCAGAACGCCTTCGTCCACCTCCCAGAGCTCCAGGGCCAGACAGGTTCTCACTCACAGGCCCCACCCCTTCAAACATCTTTTAGCTGCTCAGAGAGGCGAAGCACACCCCGCATCAGGACAGGCCAGATGCTTGGTGAGAAGTGGGTACCAATGGGATTCTTCTTGGAAGAGCCAAAAATGAAGGCAAAGATGCCTAGATTCTGGGTTCAGCAAACTACTGTGTGTTGAAGGCATCGGATCCCTGGGGGGCTCCCCCCCACCTGTACCCTGGAGAAAGAGGCAGAGCCTGTGCACAGAGTGGGCTCCTTCCTCATACCCTCTCTGGGTGGGGGTTGGGGCCTTGCCTCCCAGAGCCTGGGGGGAGGTCTTGGGAGAACAGCTCGGCAGCTGGGGCCTTCACTGGGGCCTTCAGGGGTTTTGCTCCAGAGTTACGGCTGTGCTTTGCCCAGCAGCCCCGTGCTGAAGGAGAGGGAGTGCCTGATTGCTGTGGTCTGGGCAAGAAGGGTCTGTCTGTGCTGTCAGGTGTGAAGGCTGCACTGGCCACGGACCAGGCCTGGGCACCAGGGATGTGGCCACCAACTGGGTCAGCTAGAGGTGAGGCCCACCCCCATGGCCAGCTCCTCACAGCACAGCAGGCCTGGCCAACATCACACGGGGACCACAACCCACCCGCACATGCAGGCCTCTGAGGAGACAGCACTGCCTCACTAGACGGTAAGTCCACATGTGTGTTTGTATGTGTGTGTGCATGTGTGTGAGCATGTCCGTGTGTACATGTGTGTATGTGCATGTGCCTGTGTGTGTGCATGCATGTGTGTGAGCATCCGTGCCTACACATGTGAGCATGTCTACATGCAAGTGTGTGTGCATGTGTGAGTGTGACTGTGCATGCGTGTGTACGTGTGTGAGCATGTTTGTGCGTGCGTGTGTGTGCATCTGTGCATGCACAGGTGTGAGCATGTCTGCATGAAAGTGTGTGTGTGCATGTGTGTGTGCATGCCTGGATGTGAGCCCGTGTGTGAGCGTGTTTGTGTGTGCATGTGTGTGTGCATGTCCCCTCTCTGTGCAACGGAGAAGCTGGCACAGGGCAGAAACTGGAGGAGGTAGGTGAGTGAGGAGCACAGTGGGAGGGTGAGGGTGAGGGTGAATGAGCGGCCTCTCATGGTCACAGCAAGGCAGGAGGCCCCTCTGATTCTGTACCCCAGCAGGCCATCCATCAGTGGCCTCTCCTGGGCTGGGGCAAGGACTCAGTGTCACAGGAAGTACCTTCTGGAAAGACCTGAACTAGAAGGACAGAGGGGCTCACTGAGGGTGACCGCAGCTCCCAGGAAGTAACAGTGGGGATGCCCTTAACAGCCCAGCTGTATGTGTGACCACGGATATGGAAAGGAGGGCCTCAGGTCCTGGCCAGGCCACGGCAGGAAGGGCCTCAGGAGGGGTGGGCGCTGGCCTGGGCCTTGGACCCCACACCAAGCCCCCAGCAGCAGGAAGGGAATTGCAGGCCCAGTCCCACCAGGCCCAACCATGTTCCCTGAGGAGGAATCAGAGCTCCTCAGATTTTAGAGGAAGACTTGAGGCCCTGTCCCCCACCCATGCTGCACGATTGCCCAGGCGACTGGGGAACCAGGCATCTCCTCGCAGGGCCAACTGAGCCCTGAGGCAGAAGACTGCTCATGGGAAGGCAAATGCTTGTCCAAGTACAAAGTAGTGAATACCTGCAAAGATCACTCGATGCTTTTGAATTAGCGCCTAGGTGTATTTTATTATAATTACAATAAAATAATAGCAGAGTCACTTCATCATGTTTTGTATTATTTTAAGCCGTGGTTTACGCAGAAGGCTTAGCAGCCTGCATCTTCAGAAGTCTTCAGGGCTCTGCCGTGTGCTCACGTGGACACACCTGGAGAACAGGTGCAACGTGGAGGCATAACAGACTCCCCTTGGTAGGAATGCACGGGAAGAGGGAGGGGCAGGGAGGACCCCAACATCCCCAGAAGTGTGTGCTTCGATGCCTGGTCGCTGCAGCCCAACACTGGAGGCCCCTCGGGGTCCCTACCTGAGCTGCGGCACAGTCTGCAGTCATTCACAGTGCAACCCAAGCCCCCACGCACCACAGAGAGCCACTGGGGTTGGCCGAGTTATGGCCCCCAAGATGCTCACGACCTGATCCTTGGTGCCTGTGAATGTCACCTTATGTGGCAAAAGGGCCTTGCAGGTAGGATTAAGTCAGTGACCTTGACCTGGGGAGGTCATCCTGGACTATCCAGGAGATCCAGGGTCATCCCAGGGTCCTTCCAGCAGGGCAGCGGGAGGCTCAGGCAGGGAGGAGATGTGAGGATGGATGCAGGGGTCTGGGTGGTGCGGCCATGAGCCCAGGAATGCAGGCAGCACCTGGGGCTGGAGAGGGCAAGGAAAGGATTCTCCCTGAAGCCTCCGGAAGGCACTGGCCCTGTTCACACCTTGGTGTTAGAACTTCTGGCCTCCAGAGCTATAGACCATGAATGTGTGTGGTTAGCCACTGTTTGCGGCGATCTGTCAATTGCAATAGGAAACTGACACAGTCCTGGACACCGAAACCCCAAAGCCTCCCTTCCCCAGAATGACGGCCTATGCCGCCGCCTGGGAGAGAAACCCCAGCATCCATCACACCCACGTTTCAATGAAACAACCAAAATGAGCAGGGGACAAGGCAGTCTGCTGGGGTTTAATGTGTCCCCCAAAGGTCACGTGTGGGAAACCTCACCCCCAATGTTGGGGGTGTTGGGACGTGGGGCCTAAGAAGAGGTGACCAGGTCTGAGGACCCTGCCCTCGTGACTGGGTAAGTGCTGTTTTAGTTCTGAGAGCAAGCTGGGTCCCCTCTCGGGCTCTCTGCTCTCTTGCCTTCTCTGCTGTCTCGCCAGGTGATGCTGTCACTTGGGAAGACACAGCTTAGGGGCCCTCACCAGATGTAGCTCCTCAATCTTGGGCTTCCAAGCCTCTAGGACCATGAGCCAAATAAACTTCCATTGTGTGTAAACTACCCAATCCGTGATACTCTGTGACAGCAGCAGAAAACAGACTAAGACACAGCCCCTGAGGGCAGGCATCCAGGACAGAAGGCCTCTGCCCTGAAGTTACTGAGGGACCTCGGTGACGCAGACACCTGGGCCGCAGCCCGACGCATGAGGACAGAGGGCCTTCTCCACACCTGCAGGAGGGGCTGCTCCCGTCACAGACAGAACAAGCTTCTGTGTGTCTACTGTGCATCTCCCACGACGGAGACATGCACGAGCATTCAGAAAGCCTCATGAGCCTGTGTGCACTCCAAATATTCTAAACTCGGTTTCCAGCACCTGCGCGTTCCTGCTGTGGACACACCACGCCAGGCCACCGTGCAGCTTGGTTGCCGTGGGCATGTGCTGCACGTGGGCTGCTACCAATAATTCGCTTTTGGGTTTCGACATCCCGCTTGCCAACAGATACTCCCCTCTGTCGATGCCGGGGGATGAGCTGTTCCCTCTAATAGGGAGAAAATCTAACCTAGAGCTGAAACCCATGGAAACGCGGAGAATACCTTTGAACAGCTCAGACCTAGACAGCCGTGGACAGTATCCTCTGTCCTATTGTTCTGTGAGCTGCCGGCAGTTTTCCCCCCAGGATGACCCACCTCCCTCACTGGAGGAACAAAGCACACTATGTTCTCGAGAAGGAACAGCTTCCCAGAGAGAGGAAACCCCTAAATACCGAGGCCGTGCCAGAGAGTAAGGAGAACACACTTGTTCTGAAACAAAGGACCCACTGAAGTCACACCATGTCCGAGAAATTCTCGATGAGAGCTCCAGATGGCAGGATGTATAATATAAATATAACTGACACGCCAACTGCTGGGGCCGGAGTGGAGAGACTCGGAGGACAGGGGGTGGTGAGGGAGAACGTTACGAGGGTGATCCCAGCACAATTCATTAAATTCTTTCTAAAAGAAAAACTAGAGGAAAAAAGCATAAGGTATGTCTTGAACAAGCAGAATTGGTAAAAACAAGACTTTAAAAATTAAACTAGAACTTTTCAGATGAAAACCTCCAGGTTAACATTTATCCACAATACCACTGCCAGTCATTCGGGATGCGACGCTCGTTCTGTGCGTAAGGAAGTTTCTGGAAGAGGCACAGCGGCCACAGGAGGCCTCTGCTTTTCCTGCGAGACCCCGGTGCTCTGCGGGTGGAGGTGCAGCCGTCCTCCCGCCCTGGCTTTGCTTCCACGGCAGCTGCTCTATTCATGGCTCTCCCACGATCCATCCAGACCCTGCGCGAGAGGGTCTCAAAGTCACCTTGAGCCTCCAGGTGCTCTTAGCCCCAGGGCAGAACCTGGAATCCCACCAGGAGGTGCCTGGCACACATATCGCACACGTGAGCGGGGCTGGGGGCGTTCCAGGCCTGAGGAGCCGTGTGAGGAGAGGCCCCAGGGGTAATGAAGGCACGGGAAGTAACAAACCCTAGGAAAGAGCAAATGGTCCTGCGGTCAGCCTGGGCGTGCGCCGGGCAGGTGGCCAGGAAGGAATGATGCATTTCACGGAAATGAGGAAGGTGGGTCAGGATGGAGCCTGGTCTCGGGTGGGTCAGGGGTCAGTCTGCTGAGGCCCCAGCCCAGCCACCCAGTCCAACCCTCGCCGGGGGCTGTGCGGGCGTCGGGTGGGTGTGGCTGATTAATACCTGCAGTCAGCTGGCTCCGCGGGGAGCACGTGCCCCTCCACAGTGGGCTGGGCCTCATTCAATCCCTGCACGGCCTTAAGAGAACAGGACAGGGTCCCCTGGAGAAGCGGACACCTGCCTGCAGACTGTCACACGGAAATCCCGCCCGGGTCTCCAGCCTGTGTCTGCACTACTGAGGTCAGACACGCCAGCCGCACAACTGCGTAAGCCAGCCCACGACACAGCGCACACAGACGCACCACGCACGTCCACGCATCTCCTAAGGTTCTGCGTCTCTGAGAATGCGGCAGGCCTGGTTCGAGAGCCCAGGAAGAGCTTCAAGTCTTTATTTGTTGCCACATGAGGCATCAAGGAAAGAGAAATACATCTACAAACTGGCATCTGAGGAAGACTGACGGTGATGGCTGGGGAACGTCCCAGTTAAAGGGAGTCAGAAGAGTTGGATGCTGAATGTGAAGAAATGTTAGGAAAATCTAACCAAGTTACTTTGCTTAGCTTCCCTTTGTGTATATACAACATTGATGGCAAAAATCTGAGTAAGTCAAATAAAGCTCTTTAAGTATAAAATAAAAACTAAGTGATAAACTTAAATTCACTTTCTTTGAGTTGCTCAAAGCATTATTCTAAATGAAATGTGTATTAATTAACTTCACAAAAGTCATCCACCAAAGCAGAATTCCGACATCAGGATACACATGGTGGAAGAAGAGACTACAAGGGTCACAGGTTAGTGGTAACTTAAGTTACAAAAGCCCATGAAAATGAGATATTGTAATAAAAACACACAGAGAAATATATGTAATACATAAACCACATTCTACTTCATGAACAAAGAAATCAATCAAACAAAAACCTGACTGGAATAAGACCTTGAAACAGCTTGACCGGCCACGTCTATCTGGCGAGGAAGCACGGCATGGAGCCCAGAGTGGAAGCCCAGCTCACGTGGCTCAGGACTCCGGGACCTCGGCCCCTCATCTGCAAAACAAGATTAAACTAGGGCGGTAAGATCCTAAATCTCCATCGTTCTATGTAGAAAGTGGGCCAAAAAGTCCAAAGCCTCTACAGTTCGGAGACGTCACAGCTGACTGCCGCTGACTGATGAGTACACATGCGAA